TTTTAATCACAGTATGCTTGTATTTAATTTAAATTCAGTTGTTTTGATGTGTGTATAATATATATATATAAATATGTATATATATATTATATATATATATATATATATTGATATATATATATATATATATATATATATATATATATATATATATATATATAAATAGTTGTTTAATTATTATTGAACAACTATTTTTATTTACATGAAGTCTTGGTGTAAAAAATAATTATTTTAACACTAAGACTTCAGGTAAATAAACATAAAAAAAATTCCAGGAATTCTGATAATAACCTAAACTGCCATAACTAGTTAGATAGCTGAAGAAACGTAGATATTTTTAAGTACATCTGCAACATAACTGCCGTATATATTTTTTTAAAATATATGTTTCTCAAAGGAAAAAATACTTTACACAAATTTATTTCTTTCTTCAACTATCAATCATCTACTACGACCCAGATTTTTTTTATAGAAGAGCGGACAAACGAGCATGATGTTAAGTGACTACCGCCGCCCATGATCAACCGCAACATCAGGGGAATTGCAGGTGCGTTGCCGGCCTTTTAGAAAGGTGTAAGCTCTTTTCTTGAAGGTCCCTAAGTCGTATCGGTCCGGGAAAAATGCCGGTGGTATACAATTCCATAGAGAAGTTTTACGAGGAAGAAAACTCCTAGTAAAATGCACAGTGGTGGACCGCCAAGCCTCCATACCATACCATCCTCACCATCTGAATGGTGGTGAGGATGGTATCGGAAATTTTGACGCGATGTACGTTCGTGGAATTTGAAGGTTGTTTATTTACCTGGTAGCTCAGATGGTTAGCGCTTGCTATAAATTTTATAGTACGCGGGCAAACCGGGTTCAATTTTTAGGTGCTGATTTACCACTTGTTCGGCGGTGAAAGAAAAAATCGTGAGGAAATCTGCATGTTTGAGAAATAAGAAAAAAAATTCCAAAGACATGTGAAGTTCGTTAACACACATTGAGGCAGCGCGGCGGATATTTCTTTATCCTAAGAACCCTTTCAGAAATAAGGGGAGGCCTGTGCCCAGCTGTGGGACGTATATAGACTGTAACTTTGACTTTTAACTATAACTTTATTTACCTTAAATAGTGGTGTTAAAATAATCAAACAGCTTATCTGCTACCAAAAATCATTAAAAAAATTAATCTAGATGCACAAATTACAAAAAAAGTAGTACAATAGACAAAAAATTTAGCAAGTTTTATAAAAATAATATCCAATATCTTGAAAACGGTTAAGTTTGGGGTATGGTGTTTCATAGTCGCAACGCAAACTACAACCCCCTCACATCACTTTGATGATCATAAATTATAATACAGATTACTGTTTTTTTATTTTTTAATCATATACATTTTTTATAGGATAAGGGTGACAGACGAGCACACAGTCCACCTGATGATAAGTGGTTGCTGTGGCCCATAGACATCTACATATTTCCTCGATTGCAGTTGCGTAAATTTTAAACTGGACATAATTTTTTTTTAATAAGACTTTATTATTATAGTACTAAAGAGTACATGATAAATAATAATCTCTGCGCATGAGACGATTACTATTATGTTGTTTCCAAATGTTTTCATACTTACTTGTATAAAATATTATATTATAAACTAATGTTTAAAAAAGTCTCGCTGGGTTTCTTGCTGGTATTTCCCAGGAATTGATGAAACGCTTAAATAACTTTCAAAAAGTATTCATGTAATCTTCTTCTACATTGAACAAAATGATTCTATTTAATTCTATACTTCAATGTTTTATCAAACACTTTTTATTACACTGGTGTTATAAGGTACGTGAGCGTAATATGGTCACCTTTAGTTTTGCCTCCCTATAAAACCAAAGACGGGAGGAAGGTAGAGACAAAAACACCATGTCTTATATTATAACTAATATATTAAGAAAAAAATTAGCAAAAAAGCTTTAGCAATAATTAGTAACACTTCAAGAAATCTTCTTAAAAAAGTACACTACACAATAATACTAAAATCGAGTGAAATATTTACTATAATGTCAAATGTCAAAATTACATCGATAAAGCAACGTCTTTTTGATCCTTTATTATTTGATTTACTGATGAAGAGCTATCGTATCACAGAGGCATCTATGTAAACAAGCTTTTTATTGCGCCCGAAGCAAATAAGGGTAACCCTCCGGTAACGGGGGAGGGAGGTGGGGAACGCTCATAGCATACCACGTCGCCGGCTGCGTGGTTATGTGGAGACTTTTACCCACTAAACACCACCTTTCAGGGATTGGCTTAACGATCTAACGAGAGATCTTTAAACCGTAAACGAACGCGACCCTCCTCCGTCCGCGGACCTGAAAGCAGGGCGCAAGCGGCGAATAGTCGCGTGGAAGTGTTCCTAACTAAGGCAGATTAAGGGATGTGTTATGTAGGCTCGGCCTGAGCCGCCAGGAGGCAGTTCAGGTCAGCCGAAAGTTTGTTGGGGGGGGATGCAAACAAGGCTGTAGTTTTTGAGTTATAAGAAAGTGGCCATATTAACCGGATGACTATATTACCCTCACGTAACGTAATTGGAATGAGAACTAATATATTTTTATCGGAGATGGCGCGAATAGATGTAATGGAGAATAGTCGAATACTCGCGATAATTATTCGACATAAAAAAAGGAATAATGTACAAAATCATTTATTTGTTATCAAATAATAATATTACACTTGTAGTATTCTCTTGAAATTATCTATCATTTATATTACGTTACTGTAATATAAAAAAATCTAAGATTATGACTATTATCATGGCAACCCTTTTGTTGTACTTAACATATTTTACGGGGAATAACCTCATTTTGTGTAAGAAATGACGTCCAAAAGATCTCGCTTATCCAATGAAAAGGGGGATGTCGTTTCAGAAACTCATGAACTATTTTGGTCATGTTTCGAAGAATCTAAATCTAAGAGAACACAGTAGCCTAATGAAAGAGCAACCCAATAAAGCAGCCATTGCTGATGAAGTTGCCAACTACATCACGGTAGCAAAGGCTGACAGAAGTATAAACCCATATGTATCTTTGAGTACCAATAAGAATCGATTCCCAATTTTAAGTAAGCTTGCTAAACTATACTAAGTCACACCAGCAAACTCTCTTTTTTTTTTCTGAGACAGGTTTGTTTCACGAAAAAAGCGCAACCGACTCGATCCCAGTCGTGCTGAAAAATTAGTTTTTCTGTACCACAATCTACCTCTTTTACCCTTATTAATTTCAACATGACTGATTTATGCTAACTGTTATATTTTAATGATGAATATATATTAACACTAAGTGTGTTTTGTTTAAAAGGTAAATACAAGTAATTATTTTGTCTGTCTATAGTTTTTCTGTCCAGTTTTTTTTCAAGTTTATTTTATTTAGACTCGCTATTGGACGAGTAACAAAAATGCCGAGTAATGCCCAATAACGAAAAACAGCGAGGATTTTTTTTATTTTACTAAATATATTTTTTTTAATTTATTCTTATAAAGAGTGTACATTATTCATATTTTCAATTTTGCCAAACTGTAAGCCAGTTTTCGGCAACGCAATAGTTTATCATTTCACACTCCTTTATAACAATATCTGGTACCTATTTATAAATACTTAAATTAACACATAAATAATTAAAGAAAAATTCACCACTATGGACACAACGACAGATAATCTTTCCTCAAGATGGATTTGAGCTGCGACTTAGTTACGATTTCATCATATATATCCGCTACCTCATTACACAAAGTTGGAGCACGGTAATTTAGATAATATTACCGTGATTGGAGTTATCCATTGCCTTGTACGCCGAAAAAAGTAATTTTCAGCCCTAAAGTAAAGTAAACTTTACTTTACTTTACTTTAGGGCCTATATACGTCCCACTGCTGGGCTCAGGCCTCCCCCTCATTTCCGAGAGGGTTTAGGGCAAGGAAGTGTCCGCCGCGCTGCCCAAATGCGTGTTGACGAACTTCACATGTCTTCGAAATATTTTTTTTCTTATTCCTCAGACATGCAGGTTTCCTCACGATGTTTTCCTTCACCGCCGAGCACGTGGTAAATCAGCACTTAAAATTGCAATTAACAATTTCATTGGTGCCGGCGGGGAACCCGGGTTACTCGCATTCTGTTACATTTACAGCGAGCGTTAACCACTGAGCTACCACGGCTCTCTCGGCTCTCGGCTAATTTTCAGCCCTAGGTATGAGATTATTTCTCCTTTGAGTAATTTGGCGCTTCGGCATTATGTATGTCCTAGGTTTCTTAAATGTTACCATACCTTACCGGTTGTATAATAGAATTGAAAACAAATAAAAAGGAATAAAATATATATCGAATAATATCGAATCTAATAATACCCAACCCGGCAAACACTGCTATATAAAGGCATAATTTAAAAATTATTAAGAATGCAGCGAAATTAGAAAAAAAGGAGCCGTGATAGCTTAGGGGATAGGTGCTCGACTGTTTGAGTCAAAAATTATGCAATTGAAAAAGAAAGCCTTGCTGACTTGGCTGAAATTGTTTATCGTAATTTTAATTGCTCATTTATCACGTTTTTGTCGTTGAAGGAAAACATTGTGACGCGATCTGCGCGTCTGTATTTTTTTTTAAAGAAAACTAGTAACGCTGTTAACATTAATAATAATAAACTCCTGTTAGACACTCCAGGATAGGTGAGAATGCTTGTGTCGTCTCGTCGAATGGCGGATTTGAATCCACTACCATTTTTATAGAGTAGTGGTGACAAACGAGCACATAGTCCACCTGTTTGTATGTGGATGCTGTGGTCCATATACATCTACTTCCATCCTCCGTAATATTAAAATATTTCGAGTACATGTGAATCGTTCATCGTCCTGGCTGCGAAACTATTTCAGAAATGAAGGAAGACCTGTGCCCAGTAGCAGGCCGTATGTACACTGTTACTATAATTTGTTTTATTTTAAAAAAAGTTACTTTACCACAGAAAGGCAGAACAACTCCTACCAGCACTAAACAACATTTTCTAAACATTATTTTCACACAACGACTACGAATCTGACGCAGGATGAAAGAATTTCCACAATAAATACTATAACAAACACATGCGAGGATAATATTTAAATACATGCAAATGTTTCAGACCTATAAAGCGATGAACTAAATAGTTTGTTGATACGGACCCCTATAGATTATATATTATAGAGTTAAAAATCCGTCTATCTGTCTGTTGCAATAAAACAGGTGGTAAAATTAAAAAAAATGTACGACCGACTTCAATATAAATTATTAAGGATAACTCAAAAACAACTGGTCAGATCTTGATCAAATTATATGGGACCACATGAGAAGTACCAGCTTTTAGATTAAAAAGAATCATCGAAATCGGTTCACCGAGAAAAAAGTTATGAGGTTACACATAAAAAAAAACATACAGGCTAATTATGCACCTCTTCCTTTTTAAGTCGGGTGAAAAGGCTTCCCTTGCTTAAATATACAATAATGATTTAATATATTTACCCGAACAGTACATATTAAATGAAACTATTTTTACGGGTTTTGTCGCGTTTAATTTAACTTTTTAATTCTCGACGTTTCGGGTGCTTTACAGCACCCATGGTCATGGGGGGGGGGGACTGAGGTGTTTGACGTCCCGACGTCACAGTTAGTAATTTTCAGTTTGATCTATGCAGAACGAGCTTACAGTATTTTGAAGTCTTGCAGTGGTATGCTTGGGTTGGAATTTAATTTTATTAATTATTAGGATCCCAAGCAGATGGTAGTACCCATCCATCTTCTCTATTGAAATTAGAATGCTTTTTAATTTCAATAGACTCGCGAATCGTCCTTCTCATCCAATCTAATCATTCTTTTGCGAGGATTTGTGGTCTATTAAATCTAATGTAATGGCAGGGTCGATCTTGAACATGTTAAATACGATAAAATCCGTAAAAATTAGTTTCATTTAAAATATAAAATACCTTAAAATCAGCATATTGAATAGAATTTTTGCTACGCTAATACATTGCGATTTATTTATTTAATCTATAGATAGATTCATCACCAATAAGACCAGGTGGAATTTTTGTTAACCACTGCCTTTTAATAGGTAAAAATTGATATATGCAATATACATGCTGCAGCTATATTATGATTGTAACACGAAACTAAAAAGTTTTTTTATGAAATGAAGGAAATAAACGAGCACACAGTCCACCTGATGGTAAGTGTGTGCTGTGGTTCATAAACAATTTCTACCCTCAATAAAGAACCAAAACGCAGATATGTTGTCAATCTTGAGGACTAAGACAGAATGCCCCCTTTCCAGTAAAAAGGTTCTTCGGTTCTCTACACTCAGTATACGAAACACAGCGGCATTGAGCTGCTATTATTTTACCCTGGTATTTTGTGAGAGCCTGGTCCTGCCCTGGTCGAGCCGACCCATTCAAACTATGGTGTAGCAACTATAATGTATATATGTATGTATATAATGTTCCTACTATAATATAGCTGTAGTATGGCCACATATTAAATTATGTTACTAAGTAAGTATGGCTCTACCACATGTCATTTGGTAGTGCTTTTGCCAACATCCTGACCGAAGGTTACGATTATGGAAAGTTACATTATGGAACTGGCCTTTCAGTTGTGAACTTATCACCGTTGATGAAGAAGTAGAAAAAAACATACTAGGTGTATTTTCTTATATATATAGAATTTAATACAAATTTGTAAAGCCGAAGGGAAACGTATGTATGTTACTGTTTATTATTAAGACCTCGAGTACAAAGAAAATGCAAGGTCTAAACAATAAATTGTATTAAATTGTTCGGTTGGCACTACTGGCGTAGTGGAAAGTAACCGAAGCTCGAGGTAACGTATTCAATTACTAGTTTATTTCTTTTATAGGAAGGGTGACAAATGAGCACGTAGTCCACCTAAAAGTAAGTGGTGTTGTGGCCCATAGACATCTGCATCTATCCTCGATTATGAACCAAAATACAGATGCGTTGTCACCCCTGAGGACTTAGATGGAATGCCTCGTTTCCAGTGAAAAGGGTCTCCGGTTCTCTACACTCACCATACGAAACACAGCAGCATCAAGTTGCTATTTTACGCTGGTATGTGAGAGCGTGGTCCTTCCCCGGTCGAGCCGACCTATTCGTGCTACAACTATACTACTAATACAACTGTAGCATGGCTGTACCACGTATATTATTTCAATATTAAAAATCTTTGATGGTACAAGTATATAACAAAAAATATAAACTAAATGTATTAACCTCTTTTATGTTTTAAGAAAAAATACCACAGCGCCCAGACGTACCTAAAAATAATTTAAGCCCAGTCTGTTTTATTCAATCGAAAATTACGCCTTACTCGAAAAGATTACAATCTAATTTCGTTTGTACGAATTGGAGAATGGTATAAAACCTTGATGAGAATGATTTTCTATTCTTTGTTGATAAATTGTGATTGTAAACCGTGTAATCCATCAAAAGCTTACAGCTGAACATATACCCCCCCCCCTCCCCGTAGATTGCCCCATAGGGAAGATATTTGCTATAGTTGCCAAGCTTGGCGGGCGGGTTGGCATCCGTAGTCTTTGGCTTTTTGATTAAATTGTGGGTGACAAACTAGCATACAATCCACATGATGGTAAGTGGATGCTGAGGCTCATGGAAATCTACATTTATCCTCGATATAGATTCAAAACTAAATTGTACAACCAGTCATGACTTACGGGTCTGAGACGTGGTCTTTCACTGCTGGCCTGTGAAGGCGCTCAAGGTCGCTCAGCGCCCTCTCGCTATGCTCGGAGTTTCTCTGCGTGATAAACTCGGAAATGAGGATATCCGCAGTAAAACCAGAGTAACCGACATAGCCCAACGGTTTAGTAAGCTGAAGTGGCAATGGGCCGGCCATATAGCTCGATGAACCTACAACCGATGGGGAAAAAAGGTTCTCGAGTGGCAGCCTCGTACCGGCAGGCGAAGTGTAGGGCGACCCGCTCCTAGATGGAGAGACGACCTGGTAAGACATGTAGGAAGTCGATGGATGCAGGTGGCTCAGGACGGTGCTTTGTGGGATCCCTTGCAGGAGGCCTATATTCAGCAGTGGACTTGCGACGGGTTGCAATGATGATGATGAAGATTCTAAATGCAGATGCGTTGTCATCTCAGTATAAAAGGGTCTACGGTTCCCACCATACAAAACACAGCAGCATCAAGCTGCTATTTTACGCTGGTATTCTGTGAGAGCGTGGCCCTTACCCAGTCGCGCCGACCCATTCGTACTACAACCATAATATAGCTGCAGCGTGGCTCTATCACGTAAAAAAGTCTCACAGAATACCAGCGTGAAATAGTAGCTTAATGCTGCTGTGTTTCGTATGGTGAGTGTAGAGAACCGGAGACCCTTTTTACTGGAAACGAGGCATTCCACCTTAGTCCTCACGGGTGACAACGCATCTGCATTTTGATTCGTAACGAGGATAGATGTGGATGTCTATGGGCCACAGCAACCACTTACCATCAGGTGGACTGTGTGCTCGTTTGTCACCCTATCCTATAAAAAAAAGAGTTTATTATCCGAAAGGCGGTGTTGCTCATCACCTGTTTCGTTTTATTTCCTTTAACCACCCCCACTCACGGAATGATATGGTAGTGTACTCAATATACATTTGAAGTCGATGTCGGTCTAATATGAAGTGTCGAAGCGAATAAGACTATATTTAAATTCGCGGCAGACGTATGGAAGGATGTGGACAATTTGCGAGTGATTTAGAAGGCGGCACGTCGTGAATTGCACGTGTTGATCGAAGCTCGATGCATTCATTGACGATTTCCATACGAAGGTAATATAAACATCGATGTGCGAAAGTTTAAAAACAAGAAATACTGTTTTATTATTAAATTATATAAAAGTAAGAAAAAACTTAACACGCATTGGTCAGGAAATTAGATAATCCTGATAATTGCTTAAATTTATCACAGTGATTCTAATCAGAATACTAGGGTACAGTTATTAAATTATTTTATTGTCATCGGTTCTTGATGCTAGTACAAATTTTGAAGTCAATCGGCCGGCGACATGTTTGTTAAAAATACATTCAAAGATTCCTTTATATAGATAGGTAAATAAAAAAAATTATAAACATGTGGTAAAATTATTATGAGAACATCGTCAATGTAGACGAAGTCATTTAAATACGCATTATTAAATATAACTCAAAAATTACTCGTCAGATCTTGATCAAATGTATATAGGACTACATGAGAAGTACAAGCTTTCAAATAAAAAAAGAATCATCAAAATCGGTTCACCCAGAGAAAAGTTCTGAGGGAAAAATTTAAAAATTTGTACCTACAACCGGCTTTAATATAATTAAAATGATAACGTCATAAATGTATTTGAAGTCTTAATTAAATACGCATTATTAAAGATAACTCAAAAACTACTGGTCAGATCCTGGTTCAATTTATATGGGACCACACGAGAAACACCGGCTTTCAAATAAAAAGAATCATCAAAATCGGTTCAACCAGAGAAGAGTTATAAGGTAACCTACGTAAAAAAATCATACAGTCGGATGTTATATGTACATCCTCCTTCTTGAAGTCGGTTAAAATACATTATAATTGAGAACCTTATTTTTTGGAAGTTGGTTGAAAATAAAATAATAAAGTGTTAAAATTAATGAATTTTAAGTATTTCAATTGTATATAATAAAAATGTAATGTCTTTGATGTCGTAGTGTCCTTCCTGATTATACAATGAGGGCTAATAATTTTTCGTTCACCAGATGTCGCTAGTTGACACTGAGGTATAGTTCTTTGTCACACAACGTCATTGAATTGAGAAATTAGTTTTAAATAAAAGTTTATCAGTTTCTAGAATATTATTTTAATACACAAAACAATGCTACAGTGGTTTGCTCTTTAAATTTTCTCAAATTTTTATATAAAGTTAAAGTTAAAGTTACAGCCTATATACGTCCCACTGCTGGGCACAGGCCTCCCC